CTACGACTACCACTACTATTACTATTACTATTACTACTACTACTACCACTACTACTACTACTACAACGACCACGACCACTAATCATTTGTGCTTATTTTTTATTAGCCCCACTAATACGACCTTTACGACGACAACGACGACTACTATTACTTTTACCGTTATTTTTGCTTCTACTTCTACTCTTGCTACTTCTACAACAACAGCTATCACTACAACAACTATTACTACCACTACTACTATTACTACTACCACTACTACTACTACAACTATTACTACAACAAAAAATTATTGTTACAACTTCTGCCACTACTACTACTACTACTACTACTACTACTACGACCACAACAACAACAACAACTACTACTACTACTACTACTACTACTACTGCTACTACTACTACTACTACTACTACTACTACTACTAGAACTTGCAGCAGCAGTAGCAGTTAGAAGTAGCAGTAGCAGTAGTGGTAGGAGCAGCAGTGGTAGTGGAAGTGCCGTAAAGTAGTACAGGCGACGGTAGTACTTACTAGCTGGAGGAGGAGGAGGAAGAGGAGGAGGAGGGGTTGTAGAACAAGCAGCAGTAGCGACAGCAGTTGTAGCGGAATCCATCACCGGCAATCCTGTCCCAAGCTCGTGGCTCTTTCGTGTTGGCACTCAGAACTTACGGAAAGAGGCCTTTTTGCCTACAGGATTTGCCTGTAGCTGAGTACTTCGGAGCACATAGGGATCTATGAGGGCACAGCGTCGTGAAAGCTCCCGCATGCCCAAAGCCTTGAAGCCTGAACTGCAAACAAAACCAGGGCAGTTTCACTCGTTAGGCCGCCGCCATAGCCGCAGTGTATGCCAGGGTGCGGGCAGGGCCTGGCGAAGGTTTGAGAGTCGGACGTTTGGATGATTGCAGCTTGTAAGCTTGTTGAAACTTGCATGTTGAGAGGGCCCGGGACTTCTACCAACTTTGGTGGTTCAGATGGTTGCGCCGTTGTATATATGTTTTCAATCCATCTAATTAAACTTTGCTTGGGTTTGTCTATGTGGGCTCTGCGGCAGGGACTGCATCCACGGCCGCCCGGAACTTTAGGACTCTCCGTAGCTACCTATTCGTTCACTTACGAATATTCCCTGAAGTTCATCCCCTAGACCCCGAACTTTCGTCGTAGTTCTGCACATGCAGTATCTAAGAAGCTTCTCCCGGGCCTTTATGCAGAAGAATCTATCCGACCGCGTTCAATCATGCAAAGCTGTAGATGTCCATGGCCTCTTAGATTCCTAGACTCAGACGACCCTGGCGCGCAAACACATAAAGATTATGGGCTCGCAGAACCCGGTCTTGACATCCTGAGCTCTACCCGAAGCCTCTCCTCAAACCCTGCGAACCCTAAAGCCAAGAGTTTAGGGTTTAGGGGTTTACCTGAAGCAGGATGCCGAAGATTCACATACTCGAAATCCAGAGCCCCGAAACCCTGAGCCATGAAAGCTCGAAGCCCCACCTCCACACAAGCGAGCCAACCGGAATACCACGGCGCAAACTTCGAAGCTCGGAGGATTTCAGGTCCACGGTTCAGGCTTGGTTTCCAAGGGTACAGGATTTAGGGTTCACGGTTCTTCCCCAAACTTACAGTAGAAGCCAGAAAGTTGGAACATCATTATCCTCATTTGCCCTTAAGGTAAAGTATAGGGAATCCCTGCAGTTCCAACTTTTCGGGGTCCACTATAAAGCCCGAAACCACAGAACGCCCGGTGAAGGGCAGAGAAATGATGCCAGGAGCACGCAGGCCGCTTCGCCCGTGAGCTCTGCCCGTTCGTCGGCGCGGTGCTCTGGACCCCTGAGAGAGATTTAGGGTTAAAGTTTGGGGTTTAGGGACATATGCATGCCTGTATGTTAGTATGTACAGACAGGTCTACGACATGTCATTCTACGTGAAGGCGCGGAAGTACGTATGTAGGAGCGTAGGCATGTAGGTAAGCATGTATGTATTCTGTACTATGTATTATGTAACTGTAGACATATATACACAATCTTTCATCCGTCAAAGCTTTCTCTCGCTCCATCGCCCCCTCTCTGTCCCTCTTTTCTTCACGTCTGGACACTTCTGTAAATTATGTTCAACTTTTTGGGCATAGGGTGCGCGCTCAAAACACTGCCGAAGGACTGCTCAGTCAGAGGGCCCGTTGTGCCAAGCCCATATAGTTCGAAGCGGTAGCAGCGCCCTTCCAAACTGAAAAAGTGTTTCTTTCAGTCCCTAGCCAAGGCACAAGACCTGTTTCGAGGGAACAGCAAAGGCTTTTGGACTGAAGAACAGACTTTTGCCATCAACTTCGAGAACTTACGCAGGCTCAAAGCCATCAGTCCAAAAACTCAGCCATACCTCAGAAGGTTGCTGCTTCTGAACGAACGGTTGGTTTCGCTAGGATTCAGGAAGTCACTGAACAACGGATGTCCTTATTTCTGCGGCTCCGGGGCGGCGGCGCGACTTATCGCTGCTTTCGCTGGTGCCTGCCTCTGCTTCCTGCGGCGCTGCTCGGGTGCATTCAAGCAAGTTCGGCTTCGGTGCCAACGCCGCTGGCGAAGAGGACAGCTGGCAAATCATTGATGCAAGGCAGGCCAGACGTATGATGCAAGGAACAAATCTCGCCTCGATCCGGCTTGTTGGAACGAAGGCATGACCCGTCATGTGGATATCCGCTACGTCATCTTCGAAATCTCTGCCATTTAGGAGTCTTGGATGAGGCGTGGGTAGACAGGTGGTTTCTAGACACGCGATATGAAACATAGCATGGCAAGGCTTGATCAGCAACTCTGTGCCGGTTGTGGAACCAAAGCCTTGAACAACCAAAGCCCTGAATCCCTTTCCAACAACCCTCAACAGCCAAACGACGGGCGTCGCAGCAGACATGGCTGCCTCTGAAAAGTAGAAGAACGCAAGGTTGGGCTGACAGTCGTTCCTGAGCAATTTCGATTCGTGTTCAGGGATTATGGTATTGCGATTACAGCCCAGTGGTGTACGCTTGAGGTTTAGGAATCAGGATTATTGAAATTACGGTTCACGGGATACAAGCCTGGACGTCATGGAGCAGGTTTCTTGGAGACAATCGATTTTTGTGTCTACTCATCAATTTCCAAGCCCTCCCTCCTGTCCAGCCAAGAGCAGGGATCCGGTTCTAAAGGAGCCGAGGCTAAACACTGTCCCCTGCGCAGGGCTTCCAACATCCGTTGGCCCTTGTGTGGCAAACGTGCGACTTTGAATTATTATGTGCTGTCTTAGCGTATGTGAAGACAATAACTACCGGTCGAACTGGTTTGCCCTGCGGGTATGTTCGTTTTCATATGGTAAGCCATACTGTATACGGGAAATTACACAAGTCTCGATGTAGTGTAAACATTAACAGCACTTTCCAACAACACACGACGAAGAACCAATGTACGATGTGGTTGAGTCAGCACCGACAGCAGGAACCACGGACAGACGTGGTGCGATGCTACAAAATGTAAATCATAGAGTTTAACGTAGTATCATATAACTATAGAACAGACATGGAGCCAACCCCCACAAACAAATCACATGCCCTCTGATGGCAAGAGCAAGCGAGGAGTCTCTTTGTGTTTATTACTGGCGCGGTGCACTGGGCCCTAAAGCTATGCCTACAACAGGCAGGGACTTCCAGATCTTGGCCACAATAGCCTGAGTATCGCCGAGCACCCCTGATTCCGACTGTGAAAGACTGTGAAAAGCTTCAATCTGCTCCAGAAAAAGAAAAGCCACATACACTGGCTCCATCCCGGCATGCTCCTTGATTGTATTGTATGGCTTCCTATACTCCTCGCATAGACGGACGCCGTTTCATGGAAGGGCTTTCTTGCGGCATCGGCTTTAGCATGTAGAATCTTGGCAGAAGAACCGACACCCCGCATCGGGCTAAGACATGTAACCCGTTTTGCGTGAAGGTAAGATGCATTCAAACAGCTCTCATAATGCAACCCTCTGGCCAAGATTTGAATTCATCTTAGCCTGAATCGGCCGAGCAGCATCAAATGAAACGTCAGCGCCCTCGTCTCCTCGCGACGGCAGTGCACGAGTCCGATATAGCCATTACCACGTGTGAACTGCCATTCCCTAGGCCACAATGCAAATACTACCGCGCATGATGGCGTGGTGATGAGTCTGAAAACCTAAACGTGTAAGCTAGTCTGCTACTAGGACTGCTAACTTGAGTTAGTCAACTTGCTCTTGGAAGATGCTCCTGAACTAATCGATTCCTATGCTTTGCCAGGGCAAACAAGTCGTGACCAACGTGCCCTCGCTACACTGCTATCAACATGCAACTGATGAGCGCTGTATAGCCAAAGCCTTCCCAGTGCAGAAATCTTTCTGATGAAACTCCACACTTGCTTCGTCGAATGACTTTCGGCGTTGTATCGGTTTCTTGCACGTATAGGATTCACGAGTTTACAAACCAGAGGCTACTGACTTCGGCATGAGTCAATACAGAATCCAAGGGGCAAGCTCTCACTGATATCTCTCAGTGATAGAACATAACAAACTGAAATATAACACAATATAATATGATATAACATCAAGAACACGCTTTGTATACCTGTACTCAAGGCAAAGCGGACTTGAGGTTCAAGCTTTCGGCTTTTCTCACTATAAGCCCTAATGTGTCAAGCGCCCGCAAACTGCACGCTTAGTGCCCTCAAGCCCAAGCCCGCAGAGGGCAACAAGAAGCTGCTCAAGAGGTCCTTGGTCACCAGCAAGACAAACTCGACTTGGGGTAGCGCCAGGATCACTGACCGTAGCGACTGCAGGTATTTCTTCCTCAGCTGCTGCCGAACATAGCAGAGCTTGAGTGAGGCTTATGCTGAACCTCGGATGTGACTGACAGGGATTCGTGACAAAAGCGTGCAGGTCACCTGTGAAACACTTGCGTCCACCTGCCCGTATGCAATAGAGACACCGACGGCCCCCATGTGGTCCTAGCTTCCGATGATCTTGTCAGTATGGAGTTGCCCTGAAACCGTTTGAATGTGAGGGGTAGCCGGGATGTGAATTCTTTCAAAATTTGGCAGTTGGAGCTAGCAGATCGGAATCAGCATTGTCGCGGCCATTACCGTCATCATCATCATCATCATCGTCATCCTCATCATCATGACCATCATCGTGATATTATATGTGCACGTCCTGCAAAACACCACTGGTGACTGTAGTTGGGAATCGCTGCTGTGACGCCGTAAGTTCTTTCCGTTTCAAGGTAACAACGCGAAATGGACAACAGACTATATACAACCACGTGACTATACACAAGGCTTCCGACATTCAAGTCCGACCACAAACGCTTTGTTTTGCATGAAGCCCCTTGAAACATTCACTCGAAGAGCTTTCTGCTTAGAGTCGAAGCTCAGATACCGTGGAACCTTCGAACCCTACGGCCCCAAAGCGTCAACGGGACAACGAAAAATCAAAAACCTCCAACCTCAAAACTGCCCTATCGATGGCACTCGTCGAAGACATTTTGAGTTCGCAGGACGAAACCCAGGGCTCTGACAGCTGCGAGCTGTTCACGCCATTGGCGCGCGTCGGACAGAGGTACACCCGCAGGAAGCCGTAATCCTTGCAACGAACGTGCTTCGGGTTCAATGTAGACTTTTGCGACGCAGCAAAGACTGTATGTATATTATAGCTGACTAACTAAGAAGAAAAATACACACAAAAGTACATCATGCCCACCCACCCACGTGTGTATACATATGTGTATATATATACACATGGTATATGTATACATGCATAATTGTATATGTAAATAATATGTAAATAAACAAACACGTATAAACAAACAAGTAAATGTACCCAAATAAATAATATATATATATATGTACACACATTTCTTTACATACATGTACCTGTATATGCATATGTATATGTGCACAGATGAAAACACACACACACACAGATACACATATATATATATATATATGATGAAGAAAACATTTATACGCACGTTGTAAGTTGTGACCGCTACGAACTCGTATGTTTACTAGTTTCTGCAGTCGTCTTGCTGTAGTTCTTAGCATCCTTGGAACATTTTGGTCAAGCTTGCTGCATTATGCCGATTATATGTGCTTAGCGTTCATGGTGTACGATCTAGGAATTTGGGTGCATGTACTTGTTGCTACGCTCCCTGGCCTCCCAGAGGGTGCGCACCAGCGACGCATCGCCCTTTAAGACATCCACGCAGTACTCACCTCGACGGGATGAGGTCCCAAATTCTTGTTGTTTAGAGGTTTGGCGATGGGGTATGTTATAGTAGAAGTATATAGGCACTCACTACAAGATAGTTTCGTAGATTCCGCATTCCACGATATGATTAGGAAGGCATCAGACAGACGATGGCAGGAACGCGCCTGAATCGAGAACGCCTGAACGGCAGCCTGTGCAAACAACAGGTCCTGCGCACCGTCACAAGTATCTGCAGAAGCCACAGAAACCTCCAACACTTGCACGCTTCCAATCCTGTTACACCACAAAAGTATACTGTATCCAAAACCCTATTCTGAAACAAATCTTCCAGGAGGCTTGAAGCGGGGGGGGGGGGTGGGGGCAAACTTCCGAAATGAAGTCGACACGCAAGCATCCGAAAACCCTACATCGAAACCCTCAGCCCTAACTCGGAACCCGAAGCCACACGCCCAACACCGGAAAAGTGCTAGCCCACCCCAAAGCCCTATTGATAAACCCATGCCAGCTCACCCTAAACACTCACTAAACCCCGAAACCCGAAAATTCAAACCCCCGAACCTTAACATTCAAATCACCGAACACTAACATTCAAACCCCGCAACCCTAAAAACTCAAACCCGGATCTCCCAAAAGACGGAGCCTCCCAGGTGGGCCGCGAAGTGGATCGGAGCAAACTTTCCGGTTTGCTGTCGCCGGTCGATCCTTTGGTCTTCGACATTTGAGGGGTAAGTGCTTGGGCCTTAGTGGTTAGATTTTCTTGGGGTGGGCGAAGGATCAACTCAACTAGTTGCTTAGTATTCGGGGCCGTGCATCAAATCAGAGCTTAGGGTTCAGAGTTAGGACAGTGAGGGCTTACAGTCAGAGGCTTCAGTGTGCAGTGTGTGAGGTTTAGGGGTCTTGACTTAGCTTCTGGAAGATCGGGAAATCAATCACGACAAGAAAAACGCGAGCATTCACCAATGCGGCAAAGTATCCTCGCTATCTCTTTTTATTCCTCCCTTCCTTCCGTTCCTCTTTGTTTTTGCTGGCGAGGGGCAGGCTCTCCCGCCCTCTCTCTCTCTCTTTCTCTCTCTTTCTCTCTCTCTCTCTCTCTTGCTGTCTGTACTATGCTAAGATAAATTGCTTATGAAGTGACTGAGAGACAACAGAATGAACCGCTACAGAAACAGAGAGAGTGCGTTGAACTCCTCCCTAAGCCCAAGCTTCGCCAGGGGCTAAGATCCCCTACGAGGGAGGCACATAGTCTTGTGCCAAGGTTTGGAAAATCCGTAAAAATCCGTAACTGTTTCAGAGCACCATGCTGATCCCTTGACCAGAGTTTTGGTGCCTGTCATCCGAGTAACAGTGACGGTGAAGGTTACAGTTGCCGGGCTTTTGTGGCCAGCAACAAACCTTCACCCGGCCCTCCCCCTAAGCACTACCCAACATCGGTAGCATCACCCCCCGGCTCAATACCCAATACCAAAATTAGATGCCAAATCCTCAACCAACCTCATGAATCCAACTTTTACCCGTCCAGGCCCAACACTCGAAGCGCCGAAGGACCCCAAATTGCCAAATGCACCCCTTCGACCACTAACCGAAAGAACATCTTCTGAGTCACTGAGCACTGAACCCCAGATTCTGAAAGGAGCTGCAACATTCCACAGAAACAAACACCTGCGGGTTGAAGTTAAGTGCAAAAATGGACCCTGAACCCGTAAAATTTAAAACCCTAACCACTTTTCTGGAGGAAGCACCAGCAGCTTAAGGACAGCTGGGCCCCTGACTCCTCTTGTAGCTGGCGCAGCCATGCGAGTGAGGCCTGAAAGGGATGGCTTATGGTGTAATATGTGTCTTTGATGATACTATCACAATACTAGCCAGAATATTACTATCACATTACTATAATATTACGATCAGGATCTTGCTCGTTCTCTCATATTACTATAAGTACGATAAAACAGTTTCCTAGTATTCTCACATTACTAAACTTTTACCTGTGTCATGAAGTCTGGAGGTTGCAGGTGCTGGGGCAGCGGGTGAGGGCTCCTAGTGTCAAGGGATGGGGTTCACCAGCGCGCAAGATTGAAGCCAATTATCCATGCTTGGAGCACTTGGGTTTCAGGAGACTCAGCGGTTTCTGTGGCTGGTGTCAGGACGGGGATGACGATGATGGTAGTGATCTATGCAATGCCCTCGGATCCTCACGACAATAATCGCAGCAGGCATCCTAGGATAGGCAAGTTGGGCAGGGGCTCCGCGGCTCCGATGTAGTTGCTGTCGGGAGGGCACAGGCGACTTGAATCGTACGGGGATTCTCGACCCGGCTCCGGGTAATGCTCCAGAAAGCTTAGTCTTGCAAACAGGGGAAGCGGCTTGTGCACTCTCCACAGGGTTTCCTGGAAAGAGGTGGCTTGGGCTTTGTGTCCGGGTTGCAGGAGGCAGCTTTAGATGCGAGGTGGAATCCCCAGGCCCCCCAGGACAAGTCAGGACCCTAGACCGCAAAATACTGGCTCAAATGGGCCTTCCTCAAGGAGATGTGCGACTGTGCACTTGGCGAATACGAGCGAATGTACTGCTAGCCAGAAGCCATAAGCTACAACTCAAAGCCTCAAGCCCTCACTCATAATTCCCAAGCCCGAAATCACAAAATCTGGAAACCCCGTCAAAGAGACGCAGCTGAGTCCACCGCATATCTCGGCTCGCGACCCTGCTTCTCGGCCCGGAAATTGACTCCCCACCTTTCCAAGGTAACATACGGCTGCTGATATAAATCCTGCATTAACCATAGAAAGGAATATACTATAAGTCCCATAGTTTAGGGTCCTTAACGTAATGCAGAATGTATATCATCAACAGTAGGGACCGTCCTAAGTCAGAAATAAAGGTTTAGGGTTTAGGGTTTAGGGAGGGCTAGGGGGTTTGTATAAAGCTGGCCATACTATGGGGGATTTGTAAGGAAACCTCAATAACTAGCATTAGGGTTACAGCTAGAACTCAAGAGATAATGCACAGCTTTTGAAAGGAATAAGAGTCATAAACAGTTGGCGAGGTTCAGGTTATGGGGCTGCGGATCAAAGGGATACAAGTGGGGAGGGCTTGGGATTCTTGTGCGGGGTTTTTGAAGAGGCAGATGTTAACAGCAAGCAATATAGGGGCCTTAATAACTAGAATAGGGTTTTGGGGCCCATTATACTGTAATTACTATAAGGAACCCCCAGAATGGTATTGGTAATTATTGAGGCCCTTACAGTAGGGCGGTCCAACTACAAGCGAGCTCATCGGCTGAAATATCGCTGCAATATCTGAGAGGGGAACTCCACGAAGGAAAATTCCTGCATCGAAATTCGCACTCTTTCGCAGTTTGGGAACCCGGAAAACCTGTGCGTTCGGAGCTTTGGTTCTGTTCCGGACGTGGGGCTTATCAGTTGCAAGGCGTGACGTTTTAAGGTAGGAGATGGTATGAGGTTTTCAGGCTCTTGAGGCTTTGAGGGAGTGCAGGGTTCAACAAAGTTTGCCGGCCTAGACTTTCTAGGACAGCGACTGACAAAAAAGGTTCAACGCCAAACGGTGGGGTCAAGGTTCCAAGCTGAAGATTCCTCCGGTTTTTATCGCTTGCCCGGTGTAGATAGTTGAGCTTGGCTTTTCACTAATCAGCAGCATGCATCACCTTGAAGTTGGACAGCTAGGCAGCATGGGGCATCGGAAACCGCTTTGTTCAGCGCACGAGGGCTCAACCACCTGAAACCTGACCCCTACACCAGATTTATCTGCGAAAGTCTCCGGGTGCTGGGAAAGGACTACCTTGAGACCACAGCTTTGAAGCAACGGTTTCAAGAGAGACACGGGGCGGCTGACACTCTCCTCTGCCACGATGTCGCACCAAAACCCGCCTACTGCATAAACGAATTGTCCTGCGAGATGTCGCACAGCGTTCGTGGAGAGACTGTGTCGTCCACGCCACTTAACGACCTTAGATAGACAAATTTGATGCGGAATGGAACCGTCTGGTTGTACTGCCGATTTGGCCGTGCTCCACTACGATATGCATCCTGAGAAAATGCCTGAATGGAATGCAGAACTTGCCTCGCAAGCAGGAACACAGAACATCACACAGACTAAGACTTGTCTGTTAAGGTGCAGCTTCCGAAGCCATCCCAGCTCGTCATAGTATGGGTTTAACTCAGTGGTCTGCATAACGCACAGAGAACTTAGTGATTACACCGTAGCATGGAGTCCCTGGCGCTTGGGATACTAAATCCTGGCTTAGGCGCCCGAGATCTAAATGCAAAACCCTGGCGAATGTCGACTTTTACTTTCCAGGGCCCGGACAAAAAGCTCAACTCGAAGCCTTTCAAGGGGTCGTCGTCCTTCCAGCCACAAGATTGGCACACGATGACGATGACAAAGATGATGATGAGGATGTTTACGCACTCAAGCTCCCAAACGGCGGGCCTCCAGCGTTGCACCCGAAGCAGGAGGGCGACTCGGCCCTGGCAAAGCACGGGCGCTTTACGGGGTGGGGTGGGGGGGCTTCTGCAAGGTTTGGAGGCCTTCTTTGCTGAACATTGTCATCTTAGGGAGCGAGACCGCTGATTTTTGCATGTTATGGTATGTCGAAATGTATATATCTTGTCGGTTGCAACGCCTTGTAGGGCTCAGAAAAGACGGCATGGGCTGGAAGCGACGGGTTCTTGTCGGATTCAGGTTTCAAGTTTCGGGCTCAAGCTGTCAACCTGCTCGCCTGACTAGACCTTGGTAGCTAGATCGATCGACAGATAGATAGATAAATGTAAATAACCAGATAGAGAGATAGATAGATAGATAGATAGATAGATAGATAGCGTAGATGGTAGCAACGCTAAGCTACTCAGGGCCCGGCCTGATGGTGTACTCGTTGTGCTGCCATTGGGGCACTTGCACCGAGGTCCATAGGCACTGAACCAGGCACGAGCCTGTCAGGTTCTTGAAGCTCTTGGGCTTTCCAGGTTTGAAGTTATTTAGCAGTTTGGGTTTAGGGTTTGGGGTTCACCTTAGAAGTTGGGTTGAATAGCAACGGCGGAGACCATGTTAGGAGTGTGACAGCAGCAGCAGCGGCCAGCGGTGAAAGGTACTGTTGTCCAGCACCGCTCCTCTTACAACAGCTACACTTCGCAGACGTACAGCCGCAACTGCTTTTCCTTGTATGGATACTACAGCTACACAACCATGGACCACGGCGTGGTGGTGGGGGCGGAGGTTAGGGCAAGCCGGATCCAGCACGAGCACTAGTGGCTAGAGCGGCACTGGCAGGGAGAATAGGATTAGCAGTCCGATGCCGATGATGATGACGAAGAATAAATGAGAAGAATGTTGATGTTGATCCTATTCTCGATGGTACCCGTGTTGGCGAATTTAATGAGTCTAATGAAATAGTAGTGTGATGATGACGGACCTTACAATGACGACCGATAAGGTGATGGTCATGATCGTACTCATGGCGATGTGATGAGGTGGTGATAACGAAGCCAATGGCGAATGATGACTCAAATTTAATGTTGTTCTGGTGATGTTTGCTGTGTGGTTGCAGTTATGGTTTGCGACGACAACCATGGTACGTAAGGCCGCAAACGCGAGCGACACGAGCTACTAGCCAAATTGAGAGAGCATGGATGTTCCATTGAGGCGTTCGGCCCAAGGATTCGGGAGGGTCCTCAGGGTGATGAGCTCCAAGATTCCAAGATGCCCTGGTGCCCGAGACTTCAGCGTTCCAAAGAAGAAATCAGAATCAGGTTTCCACCTTTTTCCAATCCCTGAAACCGTATACCCTGCTATTTCCCTACCCCCAGCCGCAACGCAGCCTTTCCCCCACCACGGTCTGCAGCAAGAGAATTGCGACCTCCAGCTCCGGAGCACTAGCGTGCTGAGATTCTCGAAACGTATGGCCGTATGATGCCGTATGCATGTCTGTGTCTGTATGCATGCATGCACGGACGTTGCCTGCGTATGTTATGCCACGTTACTTTATCTTAGTCGGGCTATGTCCTGTATACTGTATAAATCTACATTATGTTATGTTAAGTTAGCTAATGTTGTAATGTTGGAGGTGGCACCAAGCTATGCCGTGCCATGCGACATTATACCATGTTGTGTTGTTGCTGACGGTGTGCTGTGTTGTGATGTGCATTTGTTTACTATGCTATGCAATGCTGTGTTGTGTTGTGTTAGGCCATGCTATGTTGTCACCTGCTACGTTCTGATATGCTACTTTATGTCTTGTTATGTTAACCTGTTTTCTGTTTCTTGTGTTTTGCTATGAAACGTGGTGTTTAGTGCGGCTCTGTTCTGCTCTGCTGAATTCTGTTATGCTATGTTGAGCTAAGTCATGCAGGACAATGCTTCGTCTAGTATATGTGCCGCCATACAAACCTATCTACGTCATGAATAGGTACATCGATAAACACATTGACATCTACATAAAGACCTAACTAACCAAATTTTGAAAAATTCGAGCAGTAAGAAAACAACATCAAGTGAATCAAGAAAACGGTAAGCAGGCATATGCACACGCACACGCACACGCACACACACGCAC